AAAAAAAAAAGGAAAAAGAAAAGACACGTAACTGATGCTGGCACGTCTGTTTTCACTTGCTGCAGGTTGCTTTATCAGGGAACTTCCTTGCAGCCGACATTTAACTCCACAAAGCTGAAGCTCGCAAATTCCCGAGAGTTGGTATCTTTATTGTCTATTGTGTTTTTATTTTAAAACTACAGGCACTAAATATTCCGCTCTTAGTATTTTGGGCTATTTTGTTATGTCAGGAATGAAATCTTTCTGAAACTTTCACATTTTGCGTTTAAAATTTGTCGTGAATACTTATGGGCTATTTTGTTCTGTCAAGAACGAAATCTTTCTGAAACTCTAGAATTTTGCGTTCAGAATTTGTTGTGAAAAATGAAGTTTGGAGGTAATCGACATGTAAGCTTGATGTCGCTAGTAAATTTCGATATTTGCTACATCAGTCTTGAAAGCTCTTTACTCGTATTGTCATGATTATGTCTTCAAGATTCTTATTCTGAGCTGAGTTAGTCTACTTTGCCGGAGTTATTTTCCATTTGTCTTGTTGGATCATGTATCGACAATATTTGGATTGTTGATTTCGGTAATATTATACTGAGGAGTAATAAATGCTTGCTATGTATTTTCGGCAACACATTCTGTAAATCATTCTAGGGATTATGGAACGACACGACTCATTATGAGCTTTCCATGCAAAAGCCATGTTCGATATAGTATGTGTTCTCAAACATTCAGTTGTACATTCTGTAAATCATTCTAGCAATATGGCGCGACACGACTCATTATGATTTCCATGCAAAAGGTTCGATATGGTATGTGTTCTCACACATTCAGTTGTTTGAGTATCTTTCGTACCACAATCAAATAGATGAAGATACAGTCAGTTACATTTAGAAATCAGTCGAAACACTCAAACAAGCAAGATATTCAAGTTTTAAAAGCTATGACATAAAAGCTAAAACAACGAATTCAAGCAAGCCCGACATTATATTAACAAATGGAATGAAACTCTTTTCATCGCACGAAAAACACAAAGGATCCTCCTTGAACCATCTGTAAAACCAAAGTCGGTCTTTTTGAAACGCACGACCTTTTCGGTCAAAAATTTCCATCACCAACACCGAAAACTGGTTTTCACGCCGTACCTGACAAATTGGACCCAATAGATCTTTATCTAACTTTTCGAACAAAGTTTACTTAAGTGGTCAAAAATTTTATGGAGTCATCGGATGGTTTTCTTATAGAGTCATTCATCATTTAATGTATTGACACCTGTCTAAAGTGTATTTATTGTAGGACACGTGTCAATACACTATTTGTGAATAACTATGGATGACTCCATAAGTCGAGCCATCCGATAACTCTATAGAAAAACTGGTTAGGCGGTATCAGAACTTTAGAAAGACTGCAAATGTTACATGGAGAAGTTGACATACATTGACTCTTGTATGGGGTAGTATATATTTATAGAAGAGTCAAAAGACATTGTGAGGTAAAAATATATATAAGTAAAATAATAAAAAAAAATATAGATCAAATAGAGAAAAAACCCTTATGACTCCAATCTGGCAACCTCCGGCCGTCGGACCCACCGTGGACCCGGGTGCTGACCCCCCCGACCCGCACGACGCAATATTTCCTACTCTCAGCAAAGCCACGATTCCCCCGCTGGTCAATGGACGATACTCCAAGCGACGTCGCCCATCGGAAGGAACACCCAGACAACAGATTGACGATGAACCTAGGGTTTCGATTCCCGCCCCCCTGTTACGGGGAATCCGCCGCCAGCACCCTCAGTCCCGCGCATGAGCTTTCGTGATATGATTTCCAAACACCGTCTGCACGTCACTATTGAGGAGGATTCGACTGCAACAACGATCGTTGAAGAGGATATAGTGGTCGACTTCTCCCCACCGTCACCGGACGTCAAAATCGCAGACCGCCTTATCAACGAACTCGCGCAAGATTGGCAGAATGCAGTGGTGATTAAGCCAATGGACAAAAGCCCCTCACATGCTGTCCTCTACAGTCGTCTAACTAAAATGTGGCCGCATATGGTAGGCTGCAACATGATGGATCTTGAGAATGGTTTTTTCCTTGTTCACTTTGCCACCCATGATGACGCGGTACGCACATTAGTGGGCGGCCCGTATGTAATCGGCTCGGGGTACCTGCACGTTCAACCTTGGTCATTGGATTTTGATGCGACTACGTCTGAGATCTCCCATGTGGTGGCGTGGATTCGGCTCCCAGGGATGCCGGTGCATCTCTATCACAAGCGAGTCTTCCCACAATTAGGGCAAATATTGGGCAAAGTGGTGAAGATCGATTATCAAACAGCCTCTCTTACTCGTGGGAAGTACGCTAGACTAGCCGTCATGGTGGATCTTTCTAAGCCTCTTTGTGCTCACTTCACGATCAACGGGCGCTTCCAACGGGTGGAGTATGAAAGTCTTCCTCTCATTTGCTTTCAATGTGGACGGTATGGCCATGATAAGAATAGCTGCCTTACCCCCAAGGAAAACCCCACGGCCCGGCATGAGGAGCAATCTAATGCGCAACCGACACCAAAGGGTGGTGAGGGCGGGTCGCCTCAACCGGTGGAGACGACGAAGGCTCGGGAGACACCTGCATCAGATTACGGGCCATGGATCCAAGTCCCACAGAAAGTTCGCCGCGCACCTATGCGACGTGAGAAGGAAGATCGGGCTAAGTCTTTCAGTCCTGCGGGTGCTTCTGGGCCTAACCGTTTTGATTTGTTAGATGGAGAGGACGCCCAACCTTCCTCGGGACCGAATGCTAGTTTTAGTTTCGGGGCGACTGACACCCACAAGGAGAAAGCGTCCAGTTCGCACTCTAAGGGCCTAGGCGAGCATGAATGGCGGGCCACAACTAAGAAGGGAAGAAAACAACCGAGCACCTCTGTTTCATCTCATGGACAATCCTCTGGAGTGGCGTTGACGATGGCGAAACAAGGATCGACTAGGGGACCGGAGAAGATGGGTCTTTCGACCGAGGAGCGATCAGTGAGCCGAACGATAATTCAACGGGATCCTTTAGTGGAGGCTGGTGTGGTTAAGGACAAGCAACTGGAGGGTCCACAATTATTGTAATTACCGGTAGACGCGGGGCTCGATCCGTCGAGACATCAAGCGGTACGTGTGTTTGAGGACCCTGACCTATGTATGGATCAGCCGCCCGACCCTGGCGAGTCTGACGGCTTAGAGGATATGCGTGAAGATATTTCTACCGGCTGGCGGCCGCCCCCGACCACGGACGGGCAGCTATTGCAACAACCGGGGGAAAGTAGTCGGGATATGGACATGATCGGCTCCGATGGAGGCGACATCTCGGGAGCTCGGGCCCCTACTGATATCTAACGGATAGTACATCTTCTTTTTCTTGTTTATCGATGTATTTGATGACCTGGAATGTACAAGGCGCAGCCTCTACGGATTTTAGGAAAGCGTTTCTCACCCTCGTTCAACAGAACCGTCCTGACGTTGTTGCACTACTCGAACCCCGCATAAGTGGGGATAAAGTTGATATGTTTATTAAACATTCCTCTTTCGCTTTTTCTTTTCGGGTTGAAGCCACAGGTTTCTCGGGAGGGATTTGGATATTATGGAAAGAGGGCGTGGACCTTGATATTTTGCAATGTGGCCGTCAGTTTGTGCATGCCCGTATTCGCAAGGGCAGGGAGGAATGCACCGCCACCTTTGTCTACGCCTAGCCGAACCCGGGTCGCCGCCGTTTGTTGTGGACCTCGTTGGCGGAGCTGGCGAGACACACACACGGGCCGTGGGCTGTAGGGGGGATTTCAACTGTCTCCTCCGGACGTCTGAGAAAATGGGAGGGTCCCCCTTACGATGTAACATCAGCTCCGACTTCCAGAGTTGGATTTTCAACCATAGCCTTTATGAACTAAATGTTGAGGACAACTGCTTCACTTGGTGCCGAGGGTCCGTGGCCGAAAATCTAGACCGTTTCATCGTCAATCTAGAGTGGCTGGATCACTTTTCGGAGGGTCGAGTCCTTTATATACCCCGTATCCACTCGGACCATTCCCCGCTATTGCTGCAGTCGAAGCCTTTCACTTCCCGTGGTGGCGGGGCAAAACCATGCCGCTTCTTAGCCGCTTGGCTGTTACACGAAGACTTCCCGCGTGTTGTGGATAAGGTGTGGCAAGCGGGAGTTGAGTATTTGGACACGACGGCCAAGTTTCAAGCTGAGGTACGGGAGTGGAACGCTAATACGTTTGGGAATATCTTCCAACGCAAGAAGCGCCTCATGGCCCGTATTGGAGGGATCCAGAAGTCCTACCGCTTCTACTTTAAGGCGAGCCTTGTTACGTTGGAGACGAAATTGCGGCGTGAATTGGACGAGGTCCTCATGCAAGAGGAACTTCTCTTGCTTCAAAAATCTCAGCGCGATTGGACTCTCTTTGGGGATAAGAACACGACGTTCTACCATCGCCAGATTAAGGTTCGTCGGGCCCGTAATAAAATCACGACCCTATTGGATGATAGTGGAGCACAGGTGCATGAGCCACATCTATTACGGCAGATGGGCATGGCGTACTTCAAACAAATTTACACGGCAGATGCCGCCCCGACCTCTACGGCACCGAGTCTTAACCTATTCCCACAGTTGGCGGCATCACGACTCACAGCCTTGGGCCAGGACTTAGACGGTACCGAGATCCTCGACGCACGGGCTACCCGCTATCTTCTTTCAGCAACATTGGGATGTGGTTGGCCCGTCGGTGGACCGTTTGCTACGTTGGATTTGGGGCGGGGCTGAGATCCCATCGTCTCTTAATCAAACTCTTATGGTGCTTATTCCGAAAGTGGCAACACCGACACTGATCAAGCACTTCCGGCCAATTAGTCTCCTTAATGTGGTGTATAAGATCTTCACAAAGGTGATCGTCAACCGTGTGAAGACCCTCCTTCCGGAACTAGTCCACCCGGTGCAGGCCTCCTTCGTGCCAGGGCGGCTCATCACGGATAATATCATCGTGGCCCAAGAACTCATTCATACTATGCGCACGCAGAGGGCGGGAAAGGGCACATGGTGATCAAAGTTGATTTGGAAAAGGCATATGACTTTTTACGTTGGGACTTTATTCACGAAACGCTCGTTATGGCGGGATTTCCACAACGAATGGTCCGTGCTATCATGGCATGCATCTCTTCGACGTCTATCAGACTGTTATGGAATGGCGAGGTCTGTGATGAATTTCTCCCATCGAGGGGTGTGCGCCAAGGGGATCCTATGTCACCTTTCTTATTCGTCCTTTGCATGGAACGGTTGGCACAACAAATATGTCGGTCGGTACATGAGGGGGAGTGGAAACCAATTGGATTTGGAAGGGGGACCGTCAATGTCCCCTTTTTAATGTTCGCTGATGACCTATTACTGTTTCTTGAAGCCGATCCCAGCCAGGCAAGAATCCTTAACGATGTACTTGGAAGCTTTTGTGCTGCCTCTCGATTGAAAATCAGCCTGTCCAAAACACAGATGTATTTCTCCAAGGTCGTTAAGGAGGTTGTCCAGCACGACTTGGCAGCAATATGTGGCTTCTCGAGAGTGACCGATTTGGGACGCTATTTGGGGATGCCTCTCATCAATGGCCGGATCAACAAGTCTACTTTTTCCGGAATTCTAGAAAGAGCGGAGGGCCGGTTGGCTGGGTGGCAAGCCGCTTCTTTATCAGCGGCTGGTCGAGTCACGCTGGCCCAATCGGTGCTGAGTTCTCTTCCTTATTATTCGATGCAAACGGTTAGTTTACCGGTGGCTGTGTGCGAAGGAATGGACAAACTTTGTCGGTCTTTCGTGTGGGGAGGATCGGATACTCGCCGTGGCCTGCACTTGGTCCCGTGGAGGGAGGTATGCAAACCTCGCGAGTGTGGTGGGTTAGGTCTCAAAGAGTCCCGGTTAATGAACGATGCTCTTCTGATGAAACTGGGGTGGGCCCTCCTCACAAAACCTAACTCCTTGTGGGTGCGCGTGGTATGTGCTAAGTACAAGCTCGACCCTTTCTCTATGCCTAGTGATTTCAAGTTTCCAAATGGCTCGGTGTGTTTGCTGGCGGTGGCTAGGATATGGCCACATATGTCGAAGGGATGTCGCTGGACACTAGGGAATGGGCAGACGTGTCGGTTCTGGCTTGACACGTGGATCGACACCCAAAAGCCGTTGATAACGGTTGCCGTAGGCGCTGTACCCCCAAAAATGCTACCAAGACCAATAGCTGCTTTTGTGGATGCGCATGGTAGCTGGGATTGGAGCAGTTTCGCTGATCTCCTTCCGGCGACAATAGTGTTACGCATAGCGGCGACCATGACGCCCCGAGCTCGAGCGGGCAGGGATCGTGTGATTTGGGGATTGACGAGTCATGGGGGCTTCTCAACTAAGTCTGCGTACTCTCTTCTAGCCGGGAACGAGCCACTTACAGTCCGACCCTTGTGGAAGCTGGTCTGGCGAGCCCCAGTAGCACAGCGAGTTCGGCACTTCCTCTGGCTAGTTGTTCGTGATCGTCTACTAACAAATTTGGAACGCCATCGCCGGCATCTGGTTGCCTCAGCGGCCTGTGAGATTTGTGGGGAGGCGGAGTCCACCCTCCATGTTCTTCGTGACTGCGCCGCGGCCCGCTTAGTCTGGACCCACTTGGTGCCCTGTGCTGCGCGTGAACGCTTCTTTGCCTCTGACAGGGTGGACTGGATTTGGTTTAATCTGACCCCAGAGGTGGAGTTTTTGGATGAGGAGTGGCCGGTGACTTTCTCTTATGCATGTTGGCGACTATGGTCGTGGCGAAATGCGTCCATTTTTTCTGCAACTTCGTGGCGAGTGGATGCTAAGATTTGTGATATAAAACGACGAGTGCAGGGCTGCATTGCAGCGGCTTCGGGTCTTCGGAAAATTAATGATCTAGCTCGACAATACGAAACTCGATTAATCCGTTGGTCCTTGCCTCAGCCGGAGTGGGTGAAGATTAACTCGGATGGAGCGTTTTCACCCCATACGACTTTTGGGTCTGCGGGAGGGTTGATCCGTGATTCTCTTGGTCGTTGGCTCGGAGGGTTTATGATGAATGTTGGTATTTGCTCCATTACCGGAGCCGAGCTGTGGGGCCTCTTTCATGGGTTATCTCTTGCGTGGAGCTTGGGTACTCGTAAGGTGGTGGCGGAAGTGGACAATAGTAGCGTGATTAACATGGTTATGGGAATGGAAGAGGTGAGTAGTACTCATGGTAGTCTCGTTAGGGCAATACGAGAACTACGGGATCGCGACTGGTCGGTGGTCCTTGTGCATGTGTTTCGAGAAGCGAATTTCGCGGCCGATCACCTGGCTTCCTTAGCGGCGTCTCAACCACTTGGTGTGCACTATTTGAACTTACCGCCTCCGTCCTTAGGCCGGTGGCTCGACCATGATCTCATTGGGGTGGCTTACCCCCGTCGTGTCTTGTCTTCGTAGTTCGTAGGCTTCGGCCCCTCTTTATTGTACCAAAAAAAAAAGACATCTATATATATAATTGCTAGCATGTAACATTTAATAAAACCTATTTAATAAAACCTCTAACATTTTTTCCTCTATTTTCGGTTACAAAATTTAACATTAATAATTTTTACTTCTCACATTAATACATCATATTAAGTGTAATAATGTATTTTTTCTATTATATTATATAATAGTTATTACTAATACCAACTAATAATAATTCAAAATAAATATAAATTACCTAATCATAAACAATTGTTTCAAGTTATTTATATTAACATCAATATTATCTTTTTCTTTTGTATCTCATGAAAAAATTTCTTTAAAAATAATAAGTAAATTGTTTTAATAGTATAGTCAAACAACTTTAGAATCTTATAAAAAATTGTTTCTTAATAATAATAATAATAATAATAATAATAATAATAATAATAATAATAGTAGTAGTAATCTATTGTAATATGTTTCATATGGTGTTGATGTTGTATCTACATCATCATGATGAACATGCCAACAACACATAACATTATTTGAAAACTTTTTATCTAAATTTTCTGAAATCAATTTGTCTATTATCATCTTTAGGCCCATCTTATTAAAAAAAATTCGTGTGTGTATCTATATATTTATAAAAACAAATATCTATCTATATCTATATAATTACTAGCTAATCATTAAATAAAACCTCATAAAGAAAACCTAATTAATAAAACTTCATTTATTTTCTCTCCAAAAGAAGTTACAAAATTTGTCATTCATATTTTGTCTTTCATATTAAACACCTTATTAAATGTAATCATGTAAAAAAATTAATAGCATTAACTATTATTAATATAATAGAAAAAAAATAGCATTAACTATTATTATTATAATAATAATAATAATAATAATAATAATAATAATAATAATAATAATAATAATAATAATAATAATAATATCTTGAAACAATAAAATTGTTTATACTTAGGTAATTTATATTTAGTGTGAAATATTATGAGTTGGTAATAGCATTAACTATTATATAATATAATAGCAAAAAAATAGAGGATTACACTTAATAGGGTGTATTAACGTGAAAGACAAAATATGAATGACAAATTTTAACTTCTTTTGGAGGGAAAATAAATGAGATTTTATTAATTAGGTTTTAAAAATACATGATTACGCTTAATTAGGTTTTATGAATGATATTATTATTATTATTATTATTATTATTATTATTATTATTATTATTATTATTATTATTATTATTATTTTAATTTTTTATTTCATGAAACAATTTTCTTTAGAAACAATTAGTAAATAGTTTTAATAGTATAGTAAAAAAAAACTTTAAAATCTTATAAACAATTGTCGTTGTAATAAGAATAGTAATAATAATATTATTAATAATAATAATAATAATAATAAAGTTTTCAAGTAAATTATTTCACCATGATCCCTCCAAATTATAAAAATTACATTACCCACAATTTTTTTAATCAATATAGTGATTCAGATGTATTCAAATAATTTATATAAATATTATTTTATTTTTACTAATGATTAAATCTTGAAAATGTGGTATGTCTTTTTTTTTTCAAAAAAAAATATGGTATGTCCATTATCTAGAATTTTAATATTAAAATTCACATATCTTGAAAATGTGATATGCTTATCATCTATAATTTTAATATTAAATTCACAAATATTACTTATAAATTTTATGTACATCTGTGCATGTGCACAGGATGATAACTAGTTGTGAGGTAAGGTGAAATAAAATGTTTTTACTTTTGATATTTTTCTATATTTTTCCCATATTTTTATTTAGATTTCTGTTTTATTACTCATCTTCTTGTATTAATTACTTTATACGGTATAATCAAATTATTTAAAAATCCGTTCACAATTACTATAATAATAATTTTAATGGTATTTTATCTAATTAATTAGTCATAATCAATCAAGATTGCAATAATTTCATTACTGCTGCAATAAAAATAAAAATTATTTGTAAGTTAAATAATTTATATTTATCGTTCATTAACAATAATAAAATTTATAAAATATGATATACTCGTTATCTACAATATAATCTTAAATATACACTTATAAAACTTAATATTTTATTTCTAACATATCAATAATAGTTCTCCATAAGAATAGCATCCAATCAACCCCAAAATAAATGCTCCCCACGTCCGAATTGTATACAAATCAATCACAACCGTTGTTTCTATAAATAGCTAAAAATCAGAACCATTGAAATCGAATCTAATCCGTAGAAAATAAATAAAACATTTATTTACTACCAAATTATTGGGGCATCCAGTTCACCATCAGATCCTCAGCCGAATCCAACGGTCAGAATTGCTCGTCATAAATCGTACCCAATTATAAGCGAATAGTACAACTAATATATCTGCACTTAGAAAACTCCGCCTCTCTGTATCGTTGTCTCGCATATAACCTCAATCATCACTTGAGCTCACTCAATAGCCATTGGAAGTGATCGGAAAATATCTCCGGCGACGACGAAGAAGAAGTGAGAGGAGAAAACATGGGTTTGAAGGTACGATTCGAATTCCAAATTTCTGTGTTTTTTTGTGGGCTAAATCGCCGGTGATTGGTGCACTTTTTGTTGGCAATTTTTCATTTGTTTTTGCTTTTTTGCTGGCGTCGAATTACTTGCTGATAATCTTGAGCGATTCATATTTTTGATCGTTAACTGTCGCGAAAATTTTTGTTCAGCTGTTAACCTAACAATTTAGAATTATCTGTAATTTGTTTGGGGCTAAAATACGGGTGATTTGTGCATTATTGTTGTTTAATTTTTTCATTTGTTTTCGCCTTTTGCCGGCATCGAATTACTTTCTGATTTGCTTGGAAGATCTTGATTTATGTCGTGAACTGCTGTAAAATTTGGGTTTGGATGTGGAAAATGGTTATTGAAATTGGCATAAAGTTGATAATTTTGTTGTTAGCTGTTAATCGAACAATTTAATTTGCTTTTTGTTGGCATCGAGTTACTTGCTATATGCCTGGTTGATCTAAATGATTATTCTCTCGACAGTTTTGCTACGGAGCCATCGGATAGCTCGACTTATGGAGTCATCCAATAATGTATTGACATGTATCCTACAGTAAATACACTTTGAACAGGTTTTAATACACTAAGTGGTGGATGACTCCATAAGAGAATCATCCGATGGCTTCATAGAATTTTTGATTCTCTTGATTTTGTTTGCAAGAAGCCTATTGTTAGGCAGACATAACAATTAAGCGGCCATACTTTTTCAACAAATAATACTCTGAAAAACGATATAAACAAAGGTATGTATAACATTTCATAGCATACATATGCATATTTATTTGAAAAAAAAAAGTAGGACGAATCGACTCGCCTCATACAAAAATCTGATTTAAGAGCTGCACAAAATGACCATTTTTTCCTTGGGAGACGATTTTTGTGAGATTCTAAAATACGATCTTCCTAAATCCAGTGTAACTAGAATTTTGTGGGATTCCTTTTTTATTTTCAACTTTTTCTTTTTATTTATATCAAAATTGATTAGAAAATCAAACCTTTTTGCTCTCTATATGGAAGTCAAATGTTTGTTATATACTTGATCGTGTACTACTTCAAATCAACATGCAACTTCTTCCTGAGTTCCTTTCTTTTAGCATTTGTCCTAGGATTTGCTTTAACGTAGTTAAGACTAAGACATACCTTTTCTATTTGTACTTGAAATTGGATGAGAAAACGTGCGATCTTTCCAGGAAGAATTTGAGGAATATGCAGAGAAAGTCAGGACTTTGCCCTCGAGTCCCTCAAACGAGAATTTACTCATTCTCTATGGCCTTTACAAGCAAGCGACTGTTGGAAACGTGAACACGAGTTAGTATTTGAATATTGTAATTGATGCGCCATTTTTTTTTTTTCGTTTATTCTTATCCAATTTCCGCAAACCACACCCCTCAACTTTTTCTTCTTCTGTCCAACCTGCAGGCCGTCCGGGCATGTTTAACATGAAGGAAAAAGCTAAGTGGGATGCATGGAAAGCCGTTGAAGGTTTTTTTTTTTTCTTTTCTTTTCGATTTGCTTTATCAGTCTATAAAATTTTATAGCTTTCTATCAGCGGAACAAATTTGATAACTCGAGCCAAAATCTTTGTAACACTCTTTCATTTCGTTTCAATTCCTTTACAGGAAAATCACAGGAGGAGGCAATGAACGACTACATTACCAAGGTGAAGCAGTTGCTCGAAGAAGCTGGGATTTCTTGTTGATTGTTTAACTCTTGAAAATTATCATTAATCACTTTGTCTGGTTGAGAATATGATGATGTTATGGGTGATAATAATTAATTGCTATTGTTTGTTTAATTGTGTGATGTTTCTTTTGTGGCTTCTTTGTGCTTTGATTTAAAGTATGATGTGTAATAAACTATAAAAGGTTTGATATTGTCTTTCTGTTGTTTACTTCACGAAATAAAAAGAGCTTTGTTTAATGTTAATGTTGCCAAGATTGCTGGTTCGGTTTGCCGATCTGTCGGGGTTAACAAAGAACTCGATAATTCAGGTGAAAACGGGTCATGCCATAGTTTCCCACAATATTGTATTTGACTTAGTTAGAGTTGTTGAATGAAATGAGCTGCTCGTGAGCTCGCTTAAAGCTCGTTTAGTTAGTTAATGAGTTGGGCTCGGTTCGGCTCGATAAAGCTTGAAAAGAGATTTTTTATATAATTTTTTTATAGTACAGTTTGTTCAAGTCCAAACTCGGTTCATTAATATTGAAAAATGAGACTCGGCTCGTTTATATGCCTTAGACCCGATAATCAACCCATTTCATCGCCTTCGCAAATATTTGTTGTGTTGGCGGTATTTTGCAAACACTTCAAGTAGATAATATTTATGTTGTACCAAAAAAAAAAAGATAATATTTATGAATGAACAATGATAAGATGACTTCAAAGGACAAATAAATATAAACAGCATGACTATTACTCTTCTATATATTATATTATATGAAAAGAAAATTAACCATATACATAAAATACTTCAAAATTATAAATTTATTATAATTTTCAATCTACGAACACTCCTAAATTCACAAAATATATACATTCGTTCAAACTCAAAGAATATATATATTACCCAAGAGCGCTTGGATGAGATGGTTTGGGTCTCTTCCAGCTTAACCAGTGGTCTCGTGTTCGAGCCCTGAGAATGCAACAGTGTTAAAAACTCTTGAGGGAAAGCTTTGCCGCCCTTGTGGTCCTACCCGACTCAATTCTGGATTAGTCGATTCCCATATGGTTCCGGAAACCGGAAGGTCCATATACCAAAAAAAAAAGAATATATATATTCATGCAAGAACAATCCAATATAAAATTGTTCAAAATTCTTTGAAGTAGTCAGAATTCCCCGCCATTTCAGGAGAAGCATACAGAGTTGACTTTAATATGCATAAAATTAAATGTCACGTTATTTGGGATCTTATTAATTATATGCTCTTTTTTAATGTCTCTCTCTTTAGTAAAGTTTGATAATAAAACACATAGTTTTTAAACCCGGCCCGGTAATCGACCCGGGGAGGTCTTCGGGTCACCGGGTCATCGGTTCAACCGTCGGGTCACCGGGTCAATTGCCGAACCGGATAATTAATTTTAAAATTTATAAAATTATATATAGGGTATTTTGTGATATATAAATATACATAAAAATAACAAATTTAAATATTTTGTATGTAAAATTTGTAGATTAAAGTGGTAATAATATGTATATATTTATCATATAAATATATATACATAATTTTATTTTTTAAAAAGAAAAAGAAAATTAAAAAAAAAAAAAATACATATAGACTGGGTCAACCGGGTTGACCCAGCCGGGTCAATGCCCCGGGTCGACCGGGTCAAGACCGGGTCGACTGGGTTTTGACCGGGTTTGACCGGGTCCGTTGTTGCCCGGTCCAATCAACCCACCCGGACCGGTTCCGGCTCCGGGTCGACCGGGTCCCGGGTCGACCCGCCGGGCCGGTCCGGGTCACAAAACACTGATAAAACATGATAATTAACCATTCAAGTTTTCTCCAATTAACAATCATTTATGTCACCCAAGAGCGCTTGGATGAGATGGCTTGGGTCTCTTTCAGCTTAACCAGTGGTCTCGTGTGGTCTCGTGTTCGAGTCCTGAGAATGCAGCAGTGTTAAAACTCTTGAGGGAGAGCTTTGCCGCCCTTGTGGTCCTACCTGGCTCGATTCCGGACTAGTCGGTTTCCTTGTGGATCCGGAAACCGGAAGGTCCCTGTACAAAAAAAAAACAATCATTTATGTCAAAATTTAGTCATTCTATACCAATTCATATGGGGCTACCGAACTATATATTTTGGCATATTAGATTGGGCAATGCTATATGTACACCCCTTTTTAATAAATTACACAAAGGGCAATGCTATATGTACACCCCTTTTTTACACACAAGGGGGTGTACATATAGACACCCCCATTAGATTTTGATATTATTATGATAAAAACAAAAATTAATGAATGGATGTTTGTTAAGTGTATTTTTCGTAACCCAATTTATAAGCCATTTCGGTAGGGTAGATACTGTCGAATTTCCAACTTAGGAATATGTTACGGTTCTGTTATGGAATCATTCCGTCGAGTTTTGTAACTGTTAGATCAAAACTCTCTGATGGTTATATGATAATCTAACGGTTACAAATCTCGACGAAATGATTCCGTGACTGGACCTTAGCTTTTCCCTTCTATTTAATTATATGCTAACTTTTTTAATAATATATTATTCTATTCCTTTTTTATAATTTTTTGAATCTTGGTCTCTAGTTGCAATAATTTG